AAGCCATTGCATTTCTATGAGAGATGAGCTCTATACTCTAGGCTGAGCTCTTGCAGTCGCCCACATTACCTTGCAGGAGAAAAAGCTTCCCAACGCAGACGTGCAGTGTCTAAAAGCTCCCATTTCCATTGAATGAGCTCAGCTTCGAAAAATACAGCTCAAAATCCCAGCGCTTACTCTTATCGCGTTATTTGCCTGGTGCTACTTACTGCCCTCCTGATATCAAAGGTATGTCCACCACAAGATCGTAAAGATCTTTCCCGTAGAGGTCAGAGACGGTTAGGTGAATACGATCTCAGGGATGGGAACGGAGCGGGGAAGAAGATTTGAGGTTTATAATAGTACAATCATCGGTAATATCGCATAGTAAGGCAAAACCCATTTAAGGGCATGACGGTGGAGTCAGCAAGAGCCCTTGATGGTTATTTTTTTCTGGTCTGTTGCGATTGTTTTCACCTAACGGTTCATTCGAGAATAATCCATTTGACTGGAAAGCCATCTAATTAATCCAATTCCAACACTTGGTTCGTATTTTCAGGCAGATCNAATCCATTTGACTGGAAAGCCATCTAATTAATCCAATTCCAACACTTGGTTCGTATTTTCAGGCAGATCGCTGCAATGAATACGATAGGCTACAGTTTCTGAGAGATGTTGGCAGTGGAGCTGACAGCAGAAGAACTAATGAGCCTGAGGTGATTATGTTTCTACCCTTCGTTTCATCCTGGTCTCTTGATCCGATATGGATTTTCAGTCTCCAAATCTTTCACTTCTCGATCAATCTATCTCGTTGAAAAGTTTCATGCCGTTATAGTTTTCCCTTTCAAGCGCTTTCCTTTTTAGCACATTCCTTCCATCCGCTGCTGTTGTTCGTCATGGAAACGAACGGAACTCTTCGAGACAAAGGATGGGATGAGTTGTCGAGACTGCATTACCTCGCACATAGTACATCAACTCCGCCTCAATCATGTTCCAGTCGACATCTTGGTAAGGGAGTCGTTTTTCAAGAAGACAAATATTTCAATAGAAGATCGAAGGACATGCGGAGAAATCGAAGTTCAGGATAGGCTCCCTAGATATTGATCGGTTCAAAAAAGCTGAGCATCCATTGGTGAAAAGCACCTTCATACAAATCGGCCATTGGAGACGTAAGCATAGTTAAGTCGATGAGAAAGTGGAAAAAATTTTTTCTTTCACATTTAGAATTATGGGCGGGGGAGGTGAATTTGCAAGTGGCGCCCTATCAAACACAGGCTACGCCCTAGGTCAACCAAGCCTCCCACCCGTACCGGGTCGGTCAGTTGGTATCAAATTCATCCGGGAGGATAAAAACACATAAAAAAGAGTGACACGTAGGTACCATAGTCTAACTGCGGAATTCCTCTTAATACCTCCAAAAATCAGCGTCTATCTACTTTAGCTACCCCTGAACTGCTATATTGCAAACCTGGTCCTCGGCTAAATGGCCATACAAGACAGCTCCTTCTNAATCGGAATCCATGATACACCCTTGGTCCTGACGGCACTGCTTTGACCATTACTTGGTTCATGGCCAGTTATGTGTAGTCCTGTCGTGTTTTTATAGTAAAGCTCCAGCAGAAGAAAAATGTAGTACAAAGTTCCTACTACGGCATAACCCCTATTTGAACCTCTTTCAGGAGGAGCGTAACTTCTTGCAAGTGGATTTTCCATTTTTACAATATTTGTTCAGCTTCCATCTTCTGAAAACCTTTCGAGTATTGATCTCCTCTATGCAGTCCTGCCAGTGCCACTGATCTCAGTTCTCATAAAAGTGAGTTTCCAATTCCCTTCAGCATTGAAGTACTTACGAATAATTCGCCTCCGCTTCATACTAGTAATGGCATTTGGATATATGTTGAAGTATGTATAGCTGTTAACCTAGCCTCAAGTGATTCTTACAGATGTCCTACTCTTATTATCGCCACCTTCGTGATCCAAATGTTGTATTTTCCGAATGCCCTCGCTGTACTGTCGAAGTAGCGATCGCTTCTCCCAATGGTATTGGCCTTCCTTCTTATTGAATTTGCAATTTTACTAGCTCCCGAATTAGCTTGAGCTGCAGACCTCTGCTCTTTCTACTATCTGGAATTCAGAAGACAGTACCAATTGCATCTGTCCCGAATGTGAATCCCATTGGTGTTGGCTATGTAACTCCGAACCACATTGGCCAATGAGCTGTGAAGAATTCAAGCAATGGGTTAGCAAGTGGGACCAGCAATGTAAGTTTCTTGCAGCTTGTAACTTTCGTTTTTTTTCGATTTTTCATGTAAGATTTTTGAAAGTAATCGCCGTCCCTTTTTTAAGATTTCGTGGACAAGTACCGTTTGCAACCAGATGAAGATCTATTGCGCATTACTTGCCTGTGTGGTACTGTTCTTATTGTGAGTTTAGCTGATGTTTCATAATTACTTCGAATTTTGTTAATTTCTTTATTATATTCAGA